CTTAAATTGTATTACTATGATTTCCTCTCACTGCTTTCAGAAGTGGCTACAGCATAATGAGAAAAAAAAGAAAACACAGTTGATGCAATTTCTGGCTCTGGCTGTGAGAACGGTTAAAATGCAATCAGGTGAATCAGTGATGGGGAACAACAGGAGCCTGAGGCAACTGCAGGTCAAATCCCAGACCTCTCACCATCTCCTCACTCTAGTTGCTCACTGCAAGCTACAATCAGACAGCAGCTTCACAGGAAACACAGAAAATTCTTTTTTTTTTGGTCACAAGTAAACTTCAGACTTTGCAGGTGTTTTATTTGATTGGACGCAGCATGAAGGAACTATTAATGATAAATTAAAAAGCAAGTTGTCTGCACTTCATGCAGATTGTTACAGTAAAATATGCGCCACGCTTCTTTTGTGATAAACAAAACATTCAGACTACCTGTGGAACTTAATTTAGATGAGACTGTCATATTACTGTTTTTGTGGTGCTTTTAATTAAAGTGCCTGTAATTCCCTTTTAAAATGTGTCGGTGTATGTTTTTAAATGTTGGACCCCAGGAAGACTGGCTTGTGCAATTTGCTAAACTTAATTACACACAGAACCCCTGCAGTTAAAAGAGGATGTTAATTCAAAGAGCATGAAAAGGACTAAGCTGCACTTTGTGCCCTGCTTGAACTAATACCATGTTTGATTTTCCAAAAACGTAGAGGGAAATGGTACAAAAGGCGCCGAGATCAGCTGATCCGTTGGAGGGAATGTGCTGCTGCCGCCGCAGTAGGTGGTCGCGTAAGTGTCATCGCTTTAAAAGTGACAAACTTCCTTTGGTATCTGCCCTCAAACTGTTAAAAGTCAGGCTGATTTATTCGAGCTAAAGGGGGATGTCTGGTCAGATGCTTAGTTATATATGTACCTATAGCTGTTGAATTTGTGAAGGACTGCCGGTTTCTGAAACAACATTACACTTAGAGGCCACTTCCTTAAGTACGCCTTGCTAATTTAGGTGACATCACACAGTTGCAACATATTTCCACATGGTCTGAAGCGATTCCGTCACATCCCAAAGGTGGGCAGGAGGGAGGGGCTTTACTTAGGACTAGCCGGGAGAACGGGAAAGAAAAGAAACAGCTAGACTAGACCAATGATGTCAGCATCGAGTTTTAAAGTGTGGGGAAGTGAGTTAAAGAATAGACTAGCAGCCAAACACCCAGAAAAGCACAGGTCCATGATTACCCAGCTTTACCGAAATGACACACAAGCTTCATATCTAAATGCACTGATTAGACATCTTTCACATGCAGGTGAAAGATGGCATGAGTGTATATGTGCTGACTAGAGTTCATCGTACTGTATGCTGTATGCATCAGTGAGGAAAATGATAACTGATAAATGCAAGTGAGGATATTCCAATATCTACAATACACAAATAAACTGACAGCACCACAAAATCGACACAGCATTTATTTATTTATTTCAGAAACCTTAATACTGTGATCACTGCAAATGTCTTATTCATACCTTTACATTTTACAAAGACAATGGATCTGGGATGTAAACAGTATTTTCAATTGTTTAAAACGTATGGTCCTCTTAAAATAGTGTGCTTTGTTTCCAGTCAGAGCGGATCACCTCACCGTTTCCTCTGTTCTTCCAGCAGGAGCAAAAAAAACAGATCAAGACTCAGCAGTGCAGGGCTGCGTCTCCGAGCTCTGGGAAACCTTCCTCCCCTGCTTCAATCACTGAAACCCAGCATCCCTACAGTTTACACAACGTACGACCTCCTCTCGTCTGATCAGTGATGCTTGAGGAATAAAGTTATAAAGCACCTGTTTGTCAGGAGCTGCACTGGCAGGGAAAACTACAGAGCAACATTCTAGACAAGGTTGCACAGGAATCCATCAATTCACCCTTTTTATATCCAAAACCTGTAAACACTATGCTTTTTTTCTTTAATGTAAAACACATTGTTGTGCAAAGAATCTCAAAAATAAGATATTGCAAAAAAAAAAAAAAAAAGAAAAGAAAAGAAAAAGAACATCTGAACATTCAAATTTGTGATATCCTTCAGTGAAGCAGCAAAAACAACGCTGAGGAGAGAAAACCCACGTTCACTGCAAGGTAACAAAGACGAGTGAAACCCCAGACTGGCTTACGTTTGTTTCTGACTTAGTATAAACTGAATCTAACATCCAAGTTGATGCACACTTTTAAAGATGCAAGCAAAACATCTGCACTGCACGTTCTGTCATTTGGCCATACTTCATTTAAAATACAAAAAAAAAAAAAATTAACCTTGACCACTTTCCTTTTACAATAAAACATAAACATTGCTTTTAGTTAATTTAATCATTTTAATCATTGATATAGTTTTGGACAGAAACCCAGTGTACATGGTATATAATTTACAGTCAACACTTTACAGATAGGGGCCCATTTGCGCCAAGAGGACTCACCTTTTTTCATTAATATTTCAAGGATTTCACATTAGTGGATGACTCGTTTTCACAACGGGCCAGCTTGAAAAACTTAAATTTAAAAAAAAAAAAAAGGGGGGGGGAAAAGACCAAATCTGGTGTTGACCATCTACTGGTGGAACTGTCGTCCACGCAGACTGACGGGAGATTCCTAAAACAGAACCAAAACTTTTGCTAACAGTCCACTCGTGTCTCTGCGAAACTGCAGAGCTTAATGAGCATGTCGGTTATAGTAAACATATTTCTTTAGGCTCGTTTATATTCTCTTTACATTCAGACTGGGAGATCATTTGTGCCGTGCGCTGCAGGGCTTCTAATTGCATCAATGTGAGATGCAAATTTACTTGGGGCGAGTCAAAAACTTTAGCGCAGGGGGAATTAAGGCTTTCGCCAAGTTTAAATGGACACGCTTAGGCTTTGACCTCAACGCCCCTGTTGTCGTGTCAAACACCCAGCTGTGACTCTTGCTTGTGTTGTAAGCAGCTTTGTGATGTGGGGGAAGAAAAAAAAAAAAACCTGTCTTCCGGCACACTTGTATTACAGGGGCCAGTGGCTCAAGTAATTGAATGCAAAGGCACACACGCAGACAGACTTCCACAAATACTCGTCACTGTGTCGGGAGGCTGGCCTGACTGACTGAAGAGGAGAAATAAGCATTTGAGCAAATGAAAGGATGAAGCCTCTCAGCCGAGTCGACGACTGTGAGTGTGAACTCAAATTAAAATCGTATCTGGTGAGTGCGTGCGTGTTACTGTACCAGGTGTGCTTATCTTTCAGGATGAAGGAGAAGAGCCTTTCCCTTTTATCTGTTCCCCAGGTGCTGTTTCAAAGGCATGTCCCTGCTCTGCCTCGGAGTAAATGACCAAGATAAGTGACTGTAGGCACGGCTGGATTGACTGATGTACATTCACACGACGACAACACACACACACACACACACACACACACACACACACACACACACACACAGGTACAGCTGATACTGTAGCCCCCTCCTAACAGATAGCCACATATGCAATTTCTGTTGATTCCTCACATTCCTGACATAAACTGAACCTGAGGAAAACTATAAATGCTCTGCAGACACAACATCCACACACACTCACACACAGACACACACACCTTAGGTCTGCTCCTTTTTTATCAAAAATACACCTGTGATTGTCTCTCAAGGTTGGCTTCTGATTATTCCTCCTGTCCTGTTTGTGTGGCCTCCACGGTTTGATGTCTGACTGATTGCGGAAGAGGCGTTAGAAAAATACAGAGTGACTGGCAGCACATTTACAAATCATGACATTTCCACTGGTCACCACTAGAGGGCACTGTAAGCAACACGACAGCAGGCTTGGGCACCACAAAATACAACAGAATACAGAATAAAAACCATACAAGTCAGGCTTTAGCCAGAATTAAGAAAGAAAGCCATTTAAATAATATAGCTAGTGACCGTTTGTCTTGAGGAACTAAACACTGATGTCAGTTGTACTATACGAATAGAACAACGTATTTATTGGATTATAATACAAGGAAATAAATAAACCTGGGGGAGGAAAAAACAACACTTTTCCCATCTCATTAATGTCTCTGTCACTTTTAATCAGCAGCTGTCTCTGCAGACAGTGGGATGATGTTTAGAGTTCTCACTTTCCTTTTCCCCCCTCACAGTTCAGTGGGAAAGGATAAAGGCTCTTGTGCAGCACAAATCGGCAGCCTTGTAAGCTCCAAATCATCTTTTCCCACTTTAAGCGTCTCTTAAGAGAGTCCTGACTTCTTCCTATTGCTTTTAAGACACATATAATTAGGAGGGACCAAAGCACTACGGATCAGTCCTGGGTTTTTTTTGTATTCTTTTGGTTTTTTGTTGTTTTCTTTTGTTTTTTAAGTGGCATCGCTTGCCGATGGCTTTTAAATATCCCCCTCTGTCAGGATGTTGTAATCCAGATTTGACTGACACGAAAGAGAGAAAGTGAGATCGAGAGAGAGAAAGAAAAAGAGAAACTGTACAAATCCCTCCTGTGCTGAAGCAGAGCGACCTGTTTCCGTGTGGGTGGCTGCGGTCGAACAGCCAGAGCGACCGTCCGGTGGTTTGAGCCTTCGAGGGGAGGGCACGCAGGTGTGAACGAAGTGAAAACCTCTCACGTGTCCTCTGCTCTTGTGGTTTCAGATGATCGTTTCTGTATGTGTGTTTGCATGCGGTCGTTTGTGTTCCAGTAGCTGGACCGGCAGATTGATGGCGTACCCGTCTTGACTTTGCGGGACCATTTTTAAGAGACTTTCATTCAGATCACCGTGGTGTCTCTGTAACGCCACCCCACCCATCCTGTGGCAGCTGAGATTTGGCATAAAGGACTCGAGTCCCCTTTTAGAGCAGCTGGGCATCATTTAAAAAGACTTGCTGGGAAAAAATATTTAAAAAAAAAAAAAAAAAAACAAGAATAAATGTCCTAAAAAGAGAAGCACATCCACGTGGAACAAAATCTACAGATAGGAGGCGGAGCTTCTTTGCGTGCACCGCTGGAACAACCGCAAGAGGCAAAGTCGACTTCTTTAGAAGGTGGAGGGTGTGAAGTGCTTTCTCCTTGTGGGCAATTTAAGAAAAGAGATTTTGTCACACGAGAGAAAGACAAATTCAACAGCTCTCATAGGTGAGAATGACACCCATTTTCTTGAGTGTCATCTTCCTAAGTTTAACAGAGGGTCTGCGAGGAGAGACCGAGACTGGTCGACGGCATTACCCACTGATGGCTGAAGCCAATGGAAGATGGTTGACGTATTCAGCATCAGGATAATTCAAGTCCAACAACAACAATCTCCCGTTTCCTCGTGAGTGTCGATCCTCCTCTGCCTCTTTATCCAGAGTGTGTGTGCGTGTGTGTGCGCTCATGTTTGCATTTGTGTGCATGTGTGTAGGTTAAAACGTGGAGGTGGGAGTCAGTTCATGTCGATGGTGTTGAAGACCCACTCGGTGAACTTCTTGAGCTTGGCAGCAGAGGTCTGGGACTCCTCCTGCAGTCTCTGGTTGTCCTCCCAGAGTCTCTTGATCTGAGCCTGAAGCCTCACCTTTTCTTCCCGCTCCTGCGGAAAGTGGAGAAAGGTGGGGTTAAATTACTCGTTTTCATTAACCCGTTATTAAGCAATTAACAGTGGACAAAGTTTTTCTTAAGCAATCAATTCAATCTCTGCTGTGTTTATGTAAACTAAATCTCGGGCCTGCAGACAGCGAGTCGCAGCTAGATAGAAGTTTGTGATTTTGTAAACAGATATTATCAGCTGACATTTTAAACCCGAAGACAGCACAACGAAATAAACTCCGAGTTGGGTGCATGAACATAAATATTGAGTCTCAGTCTAGGAAGGTAAAGAACACACTGAAGGAAACAATAAAACTGGAGCGAGCTGCTGTCAGTCAGCTGCAGTCGATTGCTGCTGGGGTGAGAGAGGTACGTATTAGCTTTCTTGGTGTCAAACTGATTTCCTGTCATGTTAAAAGTAAGAAATGTAGAAAAGCTTTGCAACATTTCACAAGACAGCTGAAAGTTTCCCAAGAATTGCGTTACACGTGAATCGCAAACCGCAGCAGTTTTCTGAGTGAAAACTTTTCCCTGTTACAAAAGGTCAGGCTCAAAGAGGGGATGGTGAGGGAGCTATAAGGTGATTCAACCACCTGACTCGTGGTTTCTAAAGCCTGAGTGGACTGTACCACTGGAGAAGGGGGTGATTAGTGATAGTCCATCCTTTTTCTTCACTGCTTTTCCAATTAAGCATGGTGGGAGGCTGGAGCGAGCTCTCATAGGGCAAAAGGTATCCTACCTTTTATCCTACCTATCCTAACAGGACTATCAGAGTTTGTCGCTTTTTGCTGTGATGTTTAAGTTAATATACTATATTCCATAAAGTCGAAAGTTACAGGACTATGATTTATTCATATCATCAATAACCTTACGGCTAACTTTAGGGGAAAAGCCATATTTTCAGCCTATGGGCAGAGGTGTCTTGTATTCTGCTGCTTCTTTGCTATTTGCTTACACTCTGGCGTTTGATGTATTTCACCATACTCGTAACTCTCAGCCGCTTCAACCTCACTACCAAACACGAAGCATTAAAAGTACAAATCATGACTTTATGGTTAGTATTTGGTGTGAATAAGGTTCTGACCTGTGTGGTGTGCAAAAACAGCAGTAACTGAAATATGGACATGAACTATAAAACACTGGACGAGTGAACAGGAAACATGGGAAACTTTTTCCAGGTGATTTAAACGTTATCATTTTAGTGGCCGCAGTGAAACTTGAGTCAGCAGTTAGCAACAACAACAAGCAGCAGAGTGGACCCAAGAGAACAATAGAAACGCTCAACTGCTGACTTTGTATATTCTTTTGAAAACAAAATATTTATTTACACCACCCGCTCCACGTTCCACTGTATACAAAGGCAACTGAAGTCTGTGTCTTTCATTCACACTTCAAAATAAGAGGGGAACCAAAAATGATTCTTTTAGCGCAGCACCGAGCAAAAGTTTGCACAGGACTCAATGCAGTCATGTGAAAAAACTAGTTTATCCTTACAGTAAGAGGATAATGTGTCACCAGGTGCTGCTAAATCTGATTGGCTGATCATCAGTTTGAGCATCTCTATAAATTCTTCTAGAAAAGCAGATTTTTGACAGTTTGCTGGGTTGGAGCGTTCAAACATTTCACTGATAAGACATCAGCAATGATCTTAGAGAAGCGCTTCTTACTGCCCATCAATGCCATTTGCAAACAATTTGAAGACCGTCACTCGACAGTGAGAAAGATTATGCACAAATGCAAACATTCAAAACAGCTGCCAATCTTCCCAGAACTGAACGTCCCAGCAAATTCACCTCAAGGTCAGACCGAGTAACGCTCAGAGAAAAACCCTGGAGCTACAGGCCTCAATTAGCATGTTAAATGATAAAGTTCATGACAGCACAATTAGAAGAAGACTCAACATCTATGGCTGTTTGGAAGGGTTCCCAAATGAAAGCCTTCACTCCTGGAACAATGTCCTTTAGACAGATTAGAATAAAATGGGACATGTTGGGTAGGGCTGTTATAACGATATATATCGGATGAAGATATAAAAACGTCTATCGTTTGTTTCGTGGTGTCGCAAAATAAACTGTTTACGGCAATATTTTTTCACCGTTTTGATGGTCACTGTAGTGGCTATATTAATTTCTTAAAGTTCTCTCTTTCTCTTATATGTAATATAACCACACTATGGACGGACAAGCGCCTGTTTTTATGCGTTGTCGTTAGCAACAATGACGGTAACACCAAATGTTACATTTTTGTGATTTATATCGTTATCGGACGATAGAATTCTTATATCGGGATATGAGATTTTGGTCATATTGCACAGCCCTAATGTTGGGCCGCCTTCTTTCTTTCTTTTTTTTTTTTTCTTCTCTTCTCGCAGGACTGTATATATTTATTCAAACTGTGTGTCATGTTTTAGGTTCTGTCTCACCTTCTTCAGGTCCTCCTGAAGCATCTTCACCATGGCCTCCAGCTTAGTCACTTTCCTCTCCAGCCCTATATGTCCCTCACTGCGGCAAGAGAAGAAAGTCAACCTGAGTAAACACTGCATACATCTTTGAAGTGGAATTTTATTAGCAACAAACTCTTGTTTACCCTGTATATTCCAGTTCTACTGGATACTGAATTCAGTTAATAATCTATATATGTACACACACCATCTGCTTCTTGTATTATCTGGTTAGACGTGAAACTTCTTTTTGTTGCACTGATAGTTAATCAATTTCATTTTAAAAAGTCTAATTCCCAAACCAAACCAACTTTGTCACATAGTATATGCAACATTACAGGTAGGCAGTACTCCGTTAACCTGCTCAGCACCTCTGGATCTTGTAATTTCTCATTCTGTGCAGCTGGATGGCTTTAGCTCATTTGCTTTGTGAACTTGTTTTTCATGAAGGAAAATAGGACAGTAATTTTATCTTTTGTCTGCAGTCCTGAGGTGATGTGTGTTCGCTGCACATATCTTCCATGTGAACATTTAACACAGACTACAGCGTGTGTGTTGTGTGTACCTAGACGAGGGCCGTGACAGTGGAACAGGCTTCAGCTCTATGTGAGACTGCTGTGGACTGGAGGTGCCGCTGCTCCGGTGGTTTGAGTCACCAAAAACAAAACTTCTCTGGACTAAAAGAAGACAGAAACGTGAGGGCAAAGAATACCAAGCGTTTGCTTTAACTACTAGTAAAAGCAGGAGAACTATACCATAATGTGTGTTTCGCTCATTCTCAAAGGTATTGGCCACGTCCACCAGGTGTGTCCATTCGAGGGGACTGTCTCTGTCTGAAGAAGGGAGGGGCATGAGCTCCTGAGGGAGAGGTCCACGATGACGCTCCACCAAATCCACCAATGATGTGTCAGATGCCGAAAGGTCACCTGTTAAATTAAGTTTTGAAAAGTGATTTTTCCACACTTTTGAGCATTTTTATTGAAAAGAGGGGACAGTAGGAAAAAAATAAAATAATTTAGGTTTAGCCTTCGCTGTCATTTTCACATAATATTAAGAGATATGGTAACCAAATATGTCCTTGGCAAATATAAGCACCTCTTAGTTCTGCAGAAAACATAATGAGCTGCGTTGCATTTATTCAAAGCACCCTTATTTACCTGCTAATTATTTTCTAATGCATTTGGTTATTTCCCATTGAATAACAGTAACAACTATCAGCAACAAATTATGTCTTCAGTATATAAAGCGAGCTGCCAGCCTTCTACTCAAGCTTACCATGCAGTTTGACTCCCAGCTTATAGGAAGGCCGTCTAAGGGGCACGCCACGAGTGGTGGGCGAACGTGGAAGGGTGGAGCAGCTGAAGAGAACGTCAGCGGCGAGAGCCGGTTCAGGAATGGTGTCGCTCAGGGAGGGAAGGCGCTGGCCACGATAAATGCTCTCATCTGATAGAGTGCGATGGAGCGAGCGACGGCGGCTGAGAGGCTGCTCTGGTGGCGACTTCTGGCTATGCTGCGCAGGGTGAAAGTGAGCAGGTGTTACTTTAATGATCACATTTACTACTGCACAGAGTCTGCTCTGACACCTGTGTGAGACCAGGGGCTGCAGTGCTGGTCTACATCAGCTACAGCCTCTCTCCTGTTTGATCTGCTGCCAAAAAACATTCGCCACACATCAAATACATTTTTTTCCCCCAACGATGTGCAGGTGAATGACCTATTCTAGCTACAAGCAGACGAGCATTAACACCCGATTTTTATGTTTGATATTTGACCTTTGCTTTTACAATTGTACCACTGCCTGCGAAAAGCTGAAGTGGCTGCGAAGGTGGACGGAACAAGCAAAGACTGCAAATTGAGCTTTCCAAGTGAATTCACTCCACTCACCTGACAAATTCTCTGAAAGCTGTGCAAACTTTTATAGTAGCTGCTTTTGGTCTTAATGGCAGACATACCTTTTCTTTATGTTTTCGTGGTGGCGGGGGACTGTCTGGAGCACTGTGCCTCTTCACATCTTCCTCCATTGTAGACTTTGCGTGAGTCTGGGGCGAGTGCATGTCTCTCAGAGATGGCCTGGCTGCCGGGGTTGGAGCCACGTCTACTCCACTTTCTCCTGGAGATTTCCTAAGACACAAACACACACGCGCACACACACACAGTCAGTAAAAAGGCGGTTGTGAGAAAATTATGTTGCACTGATAATGTTTTATATAATGACACAGAAAATAAAGATATGTAGCCTTTCAATGGGAAAAAAAAAAAAAAAAAAAAATCACATTCAGGGTCTGCATTATAGCATTTAATGCAATACTCTCTTGAGCCACAAGGGGGTAATCAAGTAGTACACATGATATTACATGAAAACCATTAATGTAAAAATTGTAGTAGTACTAGTTGTAGTAGGATTAAAAGCAGTCTGCCAAATGAAAGCACTGCTATAAATCAGAGGAAAGTTCAATTTGAAACGATGAGTATAAATGCAGTAATGCAAGGGGAAAAAGACAGCCACAGTGGCAACATTAGGCATCGTTCATTAGACACTAATGTGGTTGGGAATAAAGTGAGTTTTAATGCACTGTACTATGCCCAATGAACCATCTGAAGGATTTGCCAAATTTAGAAAAATCTGACCGGAACATCTTTCACCTGTTAATTTGTTCCATTTCTTCATTATTAACCAACAGCCTGAAAAAAAAAAAAAACTCACCAGGATCAATAACTTCTTGTGAAAGTTAACACTGAGCTGACACAAAAACATCCAACTCTCTTTTACAGAGGCATTTAAAGCTCAAAAACCTCTAGAGGAATTATTGATAACATATAACTTTAATAATTTATGTAACTTTTCATATCTCAAATACACAGTTTGAATAACAATTCAAGACTTTTGTTGTTTTCTACTTTCTGTATAGTCCTTTCATCCTTACTTGCGCGTGTCTCCAAAGTCGACAGAATTGATGGTGGAGCCGGGCTTCCTCCAACCAATCAGGTACTTGGACTGAGCTCCTTGGCGCGGGTAGAAGCTCTTGGGCCCAGGGGACACTGAGGACTGAGATGAAGGGGAGGTTGCCGAAGAGGACGACTCCTCTCTGGGAGAGCTGTGGCCCGAGTGGCGAGCACTGATGGACAGAGGAAACAAACAGGATGTGGAAATAGTAATGAAACATATGTACACAAGTTGCATCATAATCCTCACTAAAAAACAACAACAACAAAAATACATCTTAAAGCAAAGACAGGCTTTTTCTTTTAAACCCAGATCTGTGCATTATTTAGGCAAGAATCTTAATGTTTTTATGTTTTAAGAAGTCAAGCTTGGTCTTAGGTCAAGCAGTAATACAAAATTCAGCAGTGAGACATCTTTTATCAAGGAATTTTGAGGTAGGGCATATATTATTCAGTTATAAATGGAAAACTATATGAAAGTATCACCTGCTGTCAAGCCAATCTTGGCAAGCTCATTCTGCCCCCCCTTTTCTTTTGCCCTCCATCACTGTGACAGAATACAAATGTAGTTTTAATGCTGGACACATGATACCGAAGTCATGAGGTGTAACTATCATTACTGGTGATTTAAGACTCTTCAAATGAGAAGAGCAGGTCACTGGAGTTCCTTCAGATCTTCACATTAGCTTAACTTAAAAAAAAAAACTTGGCATGTGTAGAGGGAGTTAAAATTACTCTTTAAGGTTGGCTTCACGTTTAAAAACGTGTCTGTGGATGCAGTTTGCAGTATAAAAGTACTTGAGCATGTTAGGTGAGGGTAAAAAAGGTTCTAGGTTTGAACCAGTCTAAAGTTGCTTATCAGGTTAACTGGTAAACCACCAAAAACGATCCGGTGGTTGAAATTCTGTAGTTAATCAGCTGATTCCTAAGATGGAAATTGGCAAACAGAGGGACTAACACACAAACTTCAGTGCTTGTATCACATTTAAAAGATTATTTCTGTTATCTCATGCACTACAATGACTGCAGCAATCAGGCAAATACTGAGATAATAAATTATGAAATGGATGAGGCCAGATCTCAATGCATAACTGAAGCTCGATTAGTTATAGCTGTGAGATGAAACATATTTTGAATGAACCAATTTATGTTATTCATTGTCAATCAATGTTAAACAACTTGAGTTTTTTTTAGTGTATTGTGGCTAAGGGATCAGTTGCTTATCCTATCAAGGTAAGAGTGACAGGACAAAAGTGGTAAAGCTGAGTGAGCTGCACAAATACAGTTAATGCAGGTTTAATCATGTAGATTTATATTTACTCAGTCTATTCATTACATCACTTCTGCTTTCCCAAGCTGTCAAACTCAATTGTGTCATTGTCACTCTGACCCAATCATTTTCTTCTGAATTATCATTTCACGCTCTCATTCATCAAACCCACCTCCTAAACATTTCAGATCAGAGATCATCACCTAAATCTCCAAATGCTTCATCACCACCACCACCAGCATCTTGGGTTTGGGTCTACTTCCTACCATTGTTGGACTTTGCTGTCAAACTCTCTACTTTAATAGATTTAATTCAGGTCTTTCAAACAATTACTTCTTAGTGAAATGTGTTTATTTGAAAACAGTATGATGATGCATTCGCCATCTGCTTCTAGAAGCAGTTTACCTCAACCTCAGGTATGATCATGTCATCACGTTACGTTCTAGGTGCAATTCTTAGGCTTCAAGGTGAGAAACAACAAATGGATTACAGTGTTTGTGATCATTAGCTGTATGCAATTGAATCAAAAGTGGGATCTCTTCTCAAATCTGTTTTTCTTCAGTGTTTTACAAAAGCTTTAACCATCCAGCGTTTTCTAAGAAGAAGCTAAAACATTTTTCTTCTGTCAGGAGTCTTAATCATATCACAACATTTTTCTGGAAACTTCCACCCTTAAGCCTGCACTCCCTGCCTTAGAGGACAAGTTTAATAGTGAAGCTTTAGGTTTTACACCCACACCCACCTTGAGTGAGATCCAGTGTCACTCAGGCTGTAGGTGCTGCTGTCTCTAACAAGGAGGTGAGTAGGTGGACTTCGACCTGTTCCATCCATGCTTCTCTCTCCTGGAGGGCCAGGGGACTCGGCAGCAGCAGGCGACCTCTCGAGCATCCTGCGGCCTCCCTCGGTTGGACTGTGCCATGGGGACGCTGACCTCTCCCTGCTGTCTCTGCCTCCACTGGGAGCCAGCAGCGAGGTGGTGCTGCCGTGGTGAGAGTGGGGGTGGGCGTGGTGAGAGGCTCCAAAAGAGCCGCTGTCGATGCCGCTGTCGGCCGAGGCGCCCTGGAGGTAACCACCTCCTCCCAGGCCATTGGGTTCTGGATCACCCTGGTCACCACTGGAGCCCCCACCAGTCCCCATATCATACCATTTGTCGCTGTCGCTGTGGCCCCCACTGGAAGTAGTGCTGGATAGTGTGTTACTACTGGAGTGACCAGAGTAAGGGCCATCCGACTGCATAACGACAGATAATAGGGATGAGTACAGGGAAAATGATAAAATATTCTGGTTATACAAAAAAGCCTAAATGTTCATGTTACATCACCATCATGTCAAAAACCATGTAAAGCCTGACCTGGCTGCCCTTCTTCGGGGACAGGTGGATGACTTGCTCTTGCCTCTGGATACGAGGAGCTCCCGAGTATCCTTGACCAGACTTCGAGACTGGCGCCTCTGCAATAAATAGACCATTACACACAGCTGGGGTTGGTGACAAACACATGAGAGCAAACCCTGTGGCACAAACATCGTTGATGAATACACACAGAAGTTATGTTCATTTGCATATATTTTACTACTACAGCAGTTGCGCTTCCGAGAGGTTCACGACACTGACACGGATTTTATTTTGCTTTTGCCATGTCCATGAACAAAAACCCACATCACTTGTCAGCAAAAGCCAAGCACATCAAACACAAATTTGTCCCCAGATGGTCCCTGCTGGCTTTGTTTGTTCTGGGCAAGCTGTGCCGCGTGAGAAAACGTGTGTATGTGTCCCGAAGCAAAACTTGGGGTATAATTGGGACTATTGTATAATCCTGTGGATGTTATGCAACAAGACCTACAGAGAAGGCTGCTAATGACCACAGCATCATGACAGAGGGAGTAAAGAGAGATATCATAACATCTGCTGGAATGAATCTAGAAATGTAGATTCAGTCGCACAAAAATCTGCAAAGTTGCACCACAGCCCACGGGGCTCTCCACTAATAAAGGATGTAAGCACGTGTGCATGCCTGCTTTTCAGGAGTGCACGTGTTTATATACAAGCATATGTGGGTATTTGTGTATTGTTTACTTTCTGAAGAGTTACCCTTTTAAGCTAAATGAAAAGTCATGACAAATGGCAATTTCTCCATGAATTAACCATGTAATTACTCTGGTGGAAAGCCCTTTTGAAGCTAAAGGGTAAGCAAATGTCCTGTTTGTGTGTGTGCATAACAAAAAAAAGTATGCATTCTGCCCGCTGCGTGACTCGTGTTATTTCTGGACATAACATGACCACATAATCGTTGCTGAAGACTGGCAGGTCAAAGGGTGAAAATGGAAGGAAGAGGAAAAGGACAGATCTCTAAACCACAGAGAGAGCAGACTGTACAGTGCAGGGCCAGACACTTGGCTGACTCTGGCTGCACTGGACCAGTTTACATTGTTCCACCCTGACCAGTAACGACATAAGTGCTATGAACAACCACAAAATGAAAGACTAAAGCCTTTAACTGTGATTGTGGCGGTCAGGGACAGGTTGAGAACATGACTGAAACTAGGCTGGTCAACAATCAACGAAAGCAACATCCTGCTGGGAATCAAAGGAGCAGCGGGGGGGGTTGGAAGCCTTTGTGGGATTCAGAGCTTTAATAAAAGAAAGGTCCCAAAAACAGTGCATGGGAGAATACTTTCAATTAAATGAAAGGGAATGTACAACATAATAAAAAGAAGTTTGAATGGGAGGCAAAAACAAGCAGCAGTGGAGAATGAGGAACAGACTGAAGGGAGGGAGGGAAGGAAAGGCGCACAGTGACTAGGGTGGCCAACTGTGTTGACAGGAAAGAAAGGAATTTCTCCCTTTTCTCTTCTTATTAAGTCGTATAGAACAGAAAGGAAAATGACAAACAAAAAGCCACTTATTGTACCCAATGTCACCGTTTGAACACCTTTCTGATCCCTATTCAATAATTCTCCCCTTCCTTCGCCATTTGTCTCATTACGTTTCCACCATTTTGTTTGCAGAGACATTAAGACCTTCTCAGTGAAGGCAATATAATTCACAGCTTGCAGAGGCGAAGGAGGTGGAAGAGGAGTGGAGTGAGGGGGGAGTGGAAGGGAAGCGCTGTGGCTGCTGTCAGAGTTTTTATCTCTATGAAAAAGCTGCTGCTGCAAAGAAGAAGAAAAAATGTCACCGGCAGACGAGGTAGATGAGGAGGCGCACACACACACAAACACCACTCACACACTCTTCAAGATACCTGTCATTTCAAAGAAATTAACCACCACAGATAAATATGGATGATTTCTTTCCAGTGCTGTCTCCTCCTCCGCCCTCAAAACTGAAAAGCCAACTGCCCTGATGTCTATAAAAACACGTCCACAGGCTCACATTTATGCTGCGTTTTATGTTTACACTACTGATAGTATTAAAATACGCCACAATTTGCCAAGACTTTACAGCGCACTTAATCCCAACATACCTGTTGACCCGCGTTCGGCTCCTCCCCCTTCATCCATCCTGGACCAACTGGAAGAGGACTTTCCACCTGACCCACTCTCTCCAGCCACCTCTCGTCTCTCCCCAGACATCGGAGAGTGGCGATTGCTTGCAAATCTAGGAAACGAGTGCACATGCACCAAATTAAACCCCCCTTTTTAAAGTTACTTAACTGTGTTTTTACTGATTAAAAATACAGGGGAAGGAATGATAGAAAAACAGAGCATTAACAGAGACAAAGACCTAAATGCTAGCATCTCACTCTCCTACAGTAATGCCATATGCTGTTACGGTTGTAAAAAGATTATACTTCAAGCCAACTTTTTTGTATATAGCAAAAAATATATACACACATATATAAAAAATTTAAATAATTTATGTCACAACGATGCATAAATACATAAATCAGCTTCTTAAATGTAAATGAGTCTTAAACGTCTGTTTAAAACGGTATATCAACCTGTTGCTTTTTGTTGGTTTAAGACATATTTTATGACATCTACAGAAGAGAAGCGATAAATACCTGACCATATGTCAGAGTACACAGAGCGCAGTGGACTTTCTATCATTGATGAATGAAATCACAAATCCCTAAAGGCAGCATAAAACTTTGTAGTGAGAAGAAACTGGGGGTTTTTGTACATAAAATATGCAGTCACTATCCATAAATCGCATCATAACCACATATTCTTCCTTACTGCTCAGGCATGGACTTCTGTCTCCAGTGAGCAGAGCTCCCAGAGGCGTCGCTGGAACAGGACAGGTTGCTGGGAGAGCTGCGGTTATGAGGGGAACGGCCTAGCGCCAAAGATGAGGCCAGGCTATAGCTCTCACTGCCTGGAGACATCCTGGTGTAGGACAGAGAAACAGTAAGAATTTATCTGCTCATGAAAACATGAAGGTTTTTGGTTTTTTAAGCCAAAAGACTATAAAAGTTCAATTTTCAAAGTTCAGGAAAATTTCGATGGATTTTTATTTTGTCCCAAACAATCAATATGGGGGAAAAAAAGTCTACTTCTGAAGCGCAGAAGCGCTCATTATACGTAAAAATGTTTTATTTTCAGCAAAGGTTAAAAAATAAATAAATAAAACCTATTACCCAGGAAAATATGGACTGTAATACAACTGATCAGTTAAACAGCTGGAGGATTCTGGCTTTCGCAGCACATATTTTCCAGTTTGCTCTCTCTTTAGCAAACCTTTCCCAGTCTCCTTCAACATAATACGGTTTTTCAATCATACATACTTAAAGAGCCAACAAGCTCTAACCTCTTGGTGTCTAGAGGTCGTCCATCGCTGCTAACGCTCCGCGGGATGACACCACCCCTCTCCAGCCTCTCGGCTGACAGCGTCTTTCCCACTGAGCTACCGAGGCTGATGGCTCGGTTGGGTGTGTGGGGCTGTGGCGAGGCAGTCAGCGATTGCTGAGGGCTGCTTGATGTCCTCTGCCACTTGTTATTGTTGCTGCGGAAGGGGAATTTGTACTCAAAGGAACCGCTGTCGCTGCTGCTGCCCTTGTACTCTGACACAGGCACCCGATAGAGCTCTGAACAGCCCCTGTGGAGGGAAAGAAAAGAAGTTTAGTTCACATGTGTCTGTGTGGAAGAAGGGCTTGCATATTGCATAACCCATATTGAAAAGGGTTTGCATAACATTCAGGACTTAGGACAATAATATTGTTCACCTCTGGCTCCAAAGACACAAAATTTGAGGGCCAAAACACCAAACTCAAGGTTTCAAGTTTGGACACAAACCAACATGTGACATCAAAGTGGCTACATGCAACTTCTATGAAAAGTCTATGACACACACATAATTTTCTTTTCCACTTACCTGCGTGGAGTGGCGTCATCATGTGGCGGGATGATAACAACGCGCACTGTCACCGAAGTCCGCAAGAGGTCAATCATCTGCTCGTGGGTCAGAGTTGCAACAGCAACCTTGCAGATTTCCACCAAACGACTTCCCTGCCGCAGTCCTGCCTGCCAAGCGTAGCCGTATGGCTCCACCTAAAAATAAAGTTACAAAAAGTAAAAATGCCAGAATATTTTCTTCATCTTCAGTAATCCCTGATTTTGACCTCCTGCAGGGGAATCTTTGCAGATCCTTTGATATTGTTGCCCGCATTTATGCCTGTGTGCTCATGTCTCAGTGTTTTATATGCAGTCTTAGCTGACAGAAAAGAAAAATAGAATGCTGGGATTTTTTCCTTTTGTGGGTACCCACTTTTTTTCTCTCTCTCTTGCACACTCCCTCATATCCATCCCAATAGTTTCAGAAATCTCATTCCAGGAAATTGCTGTTATTTCTGAATCATTATATTGATGCTATGATTACGAGGTGATGATTGCTATTATTTCACTCATAAAACAAAAACTGCATCGGAGAAGTAAGCAGAAATGCACAAGAGGAATCGATGCTGAACAGGCCAGTCACAGTAGTTGTGGGCTGTATCAATTCCATGTGTAGTTAGATTTTTGGGGAGGTGCACGTCGGGTTACACAGTATATTACAGCGTATATATCGCGCTAAAGAATTTATTTTTTAAATAAAGCATAAAAACTGAACAACTTGGCGTTTCATACTGCTGGACAAGCACATCTGTGTACATTAAACTATTAAATTATACAACATCGCTTTGGTAAAATACTCATTGTCACTAAAAATAAAGGTGTATTTGAATCTCAAGTTGTCTGAGAAAGGAAATGTGTGCAAACATCTGTTGCATGACAACAACAAGTTGCTATGTTGGGATGCAAATCATCTCCCTGGGGCTGCTTCATCACCAGCAAACATTTTACGCCTACAAATTAGGAGCTTCTCAAACCGCGCATAAGCAAGTGTTCTCCCCGAATGCGCTTCACAGTTCTCAGACACACATTTTCATTGTGAATGGACAAGTACCTCAGCTACAATGCCTTCGTAGTTCACGTGGAAGCCGAGCTGTCCCAGGCCATTTCGACGAAGCGTCATCTCTGATGTCTCACAGCCTTTAGTCAGGAACTGGATATAGAGAAGGGCAGAGAGATGCACAAAGTAGATGTGAGCCATTAAAGGACAGGGACGACTGGAGGACAGAAGCTAAAGCAAAGAACCAAACATCCCCCGGGGTGTATTTTGGTTCAACATAAATAAGTCATTATTTGGAAAAAACTTTGCAGGATATTTGAAATACTCGAATAATGGACTTCCACTTAAGAAGCAGTTTTAAACAACCTGCGTGATCCTTAGGATGTTTATTTGCATGAATAAAAACAAGCATTCATATATACAAACTTGTTAAACAACAAGAATAAAAGCAGGTTTGTCTCCTGCTGTATGAGAACAACTGGGTAAACTTCTGGGTCACTGTTTTCATTTGGCGGTGAAGAACTAAAATCAGTTACGGAAAAGTGAAAATACAAGAATTTGGATCCCATAATACTCTAAAGGTCAACTAATAAGTTGATAAAATATGTGGTAATACTAATCCTTATTCCCAACAAACTTATCCTGTTGTGGTCAGTCACAGCCCTTCTGCTGATGTGCCTGGTGGCTTCAGGGTGCCTCTCAGTTCTCTATCTGAACAGCGTATTAGCAAAAATCTCTGCAGAAGTCAAACTTCCCAAGAAAGTGTGAATAAATCATGATGCAGACTGGCACCTGACAGGAATTGTTATTTTGCCCTCTGATGTTTCTGAACGTGTGTGTGGGAGAGGAAGCAAGCACAAGAAAAAAAAAAAAAGGGGGGGGGGGAAGGAAAAATAGAAAACAAGGAGAAGAAAAAATAGGGGGATAGGAGAAAGAGAGAGGGAGACAAAGAGAGGGAGAGTAGAAGAGATGGGCTCCAAAAAGCAGCTGGCCCGAGGCCACTTCCCTTCCACGGTCTGGCACTGAGGTAGTCCAAGCGATTGAAGATTAAAGCCAGATGCATAAAATGCAACATGTGATCAGCTTCTGAGTCCCGAGCCAAGTAACGAAGTGCAAGTGTTCAAATATGTTTGTATGCATGTGTGCAAATGAAAGATGTCAAATTCAACCCAGGCTACAGAAACACATCACATATGTTCGCATGCAAACACACACACAGTTTTAAGGCAGAGAGAGGCTGAGGAAATGAATGTATTCTAAAGCATTGATGATTACATAAGAAAACACCTTTTTTTCCTCCGACCAGTTTCCATGGAAACAGCTAAGGACGAACTAGCATCACTTCACTGTATGTGTAGGTGTATGAGCCATTAAGGAGTATGTTGTCCAGTGGTGTTTCTGAAACTCCCTCAATAAGCAGAGACCAGTAATGAGACAGCAGCTTTGGCATGTGGATGCAGAAATGTTGTCATTCTGGCAGACTGACAGCCGACACTGAATAGTAAGCGAGACTGTGAGTGGGCCAGGTAACTGATCAATGGCAGCCAGCGGCGTTTTTTCCATTGGTTTGGTTTCTCAGTACAGTTCTACTATTAATATGAATAAATAATTCTGCCATCTTCAGGACTTCCAACAAACACAAAGAGCGCGGTTAACATTGCAAGCATGAGCGGTGTCGTCCAAAAGGGACACAACAATATTTGTCTTGACGTTCGAAAAACAAATCGCAGTTTTTCTTGGCGCATAAACCAATTAACCTAATTTAATTTAGAATACGTAGCTCTTGGGCATGAGAGCAGAGGGCAGAAGACGGAAAAAATTGTTAATGGATGACTCATTGTGAAAGGGTAACAAACAAATACTTGTTCATTACCACTGAGAGGAAGGTTGAAAACCTAATTATATTTTCAGCTATCATTTATAATAATAATGATGTCGGCTTCCTTCTTGGCCAGGTCACTCATGAAAATAAAAGTTATTTTTAATTTCAATAAAATCCAGAACACAGACTGCAACTCCCTCCATCGACTGTTGTTTATACCAACAAGCACCATTCTTATGTGTATTGTATTTTGTGTGTGTTCTAACCTCTAGACGTTTGACCACCTCTTTGAAGTCTTCTGTATTATTACTGATACTCCTCAGAGACACGCTTTCACCCCGCTCGTAGAAAATCTTCAAAGACGCGGGGCTGCTAAGCGTCCAGCCAATCACATCCTTAGTGGCACAGTTAAACACCACAGCCTTGGCCTCCTGGTCCAACAGGATTAAAAAGTCGTTGGAAATGGCCAGCAGGGCCTCCATTTCTCCTCCACTCCCATGATCCTCAGCATGGACTGGCCAAGTCACCGCCCCAAGACTGCGCAGCTCTGCTCCTTCATATGGCCGGGTCTTCTCTTTCTTTTTGTGGGCAAGCGAGATGAAAGGGAACTTCCCAGAGGGGTCAATCGGGGTGTTGGTGGTGTGCCGCTCAGCCAGGTCGCGCAGATACTCCTGCCGCGTTCGGGTGGCCATGGCTCGGAACTTGTGTGATTTGTGGGCAGCATTTTCCGCATTGATGACCTTGGCCAGCAGGAAGTCCCGGAACACCGATGACTTGGGGAACGTCACACCCTCTGGGATAGGGGGGCCGAAAGAGGGTACGTCTTTGGAGCGGGTGACGGCCACACTACAACGGACAGGAAGAGACCAGGCAGAGAAATTAAAAGAAAGAAGAGAAATAAAAATGGGAGAAGAAAAGAACAGATAAAAAAAAATAAATAAATAAAACTCCAGGCCAAGAACTGGGCCAATTTAGAGTCTGTGTTTTATTCAGACATCAGATTATTTTACTTTAAATGAAAACAATATGTCCCATGAAAAGCTTGAACTCTTTGCCATTTTAGACTAGTCAGATTTAAAAGCAACAAACTGCAACAAAGCTATCTCTCTTTCATTTGTTGTTGTGATGTTGAAATGGAGAAGTTTAGGGTAAAGCTATAAAAGCAGAAATGTATAATTTCTTTATTTCTTTTGTTTAGTTTCTTATTATTGATACACTTTAGTGTCCTTACAGGCCATTTTAAAATGATTTTTATAGTTTTTATAGAATTTTGTGACTTCTTATCGGGTTGTCGAGTCACCTGTGAAATACCGAATGCCTCTAACCTGCATCAAAGGTGTAAATAAAACCTCATTTCAATCAAGGAGTAGTGTGATTGCGTTTTTTCCCTACACCTCCTCCCCCCTCCTTCCTTCCTCCTTTCATTAAGTCCCTGGAATGGCCATCTGAGGATACTTGCTCTCTCTGGTATGTCAGGAACTCAGCTGAGCAGCCATGACAAGCAAGGAAAGATGGGGAGGATGAGGGGAGACTGCTATTTTAAATCTGCTGTCCAAAGCCACAGAAAACACAGTGTGAGACACAAAAGGAATATGTGGCTAAGAAAGGAAGAAAAGAGGTCTGTGCAGGGGAAAAAATCAGGAAATTATTGCATACTGGCGAAAGTTTTAAAAAACTATTTTTAAAATGTCTGAGAGTGAAACAGTTCTCTAAACGGTCTACAGAGCTCTGTGGCTGCACGCTGGCCACCTGTCCTCGTCTCAACCTCTTCATAACCAAATGTGCTCAATCACAGGTGATAATTGCCAGCTGACAAGAGTAGCTGTAGAAATGGGAGCTCTCATCCCACACACACTTCCCCGCTGACATGCGTCAACATACATGCTGACACCAGGATTAATAGCTTTGTCTAATTAGCGATACCTGTGCCACCCACATCTTTCTAAACATACCTCAGAGGCACCCTATCTTCATGGGTGACATGGGGTGTTCAATTAACCTAACCATCATATCGTTGACACCTCATCTCCCATGTTTGCAACATGGAAAGGTGGGCCCTGGGGTAAGAGAAGAAGCATTGTTTTCTAGACAGAATTGCCTTTGAGAATGAACACAAGCTATTATTCTGCAAGGCTGGCAAGTGCATCCTGGGAATACTCACAGGAATTCTAGCGCCATTTTTCTACAAATAGGGACGGGGCCTTTATCTGCCTCAAGTGCAGAAGAGAAAAGTCCCTCGTATGAGAAAGAGTGAATTAGAAATAATTAAATGTTACTACATAATTCAACATATTTTAGCAGACATATCATCTGTGCCAAAAAGGAGATCACCATCAGCGCATCAACCCAGCGTGCCCACGTTGTCACAGCTTCTCTAATCTAACTTGAAGGTCAACCACACCCTGCCCATCAACAGAGAGCATGTTTTTAGTTCAATACAGGTATTAATAAAAAAAAAAAAAAACCCAGAGTAAATAAAATTGTCTCCATTTCCTTCCTGGCATTTGTGCTGAAATCAACAAGGAGAAGGAAAGCAGGTAGCGTGTACATGCGTAGGTGTCAGGGCATGCAAACGTGTTAACATCAAAGACCCATCTGCTGTTAGCGGTTTAGCAGTTTTCACTCTTTTAACTGTGTATATTTTCAATATGGCCCTTACAATGGAGGGAAAATTACATCACACTGTTAGTTCACAGCTTGACTTGTTTAACATGATCACAGGATTTTTTTCCACATTTATTTAAAAAACAAAAAAAAACAAAAACAAAAAAAACCCAAAACAAAAAACGAATAAATGGCTTTGACTAAAGACATAATTCCCCTGTAATTAAATGGAATTTAAATTATTTTATTTGAAATTACAATATTTATATATTTACCTACAACTACTTTGAAGGTAGGCAGATTAGAAAAAGGGCTTAATGAGCAAAATAATTATACTGTAAGCAAATAAAATGTTGCGTTAATAATTTCTTTTGAGTAGTGTTTAATTTCATGGTAATGTTGAAAATGTGTTGTAATTTTTGGAGCGCACGTATTATGGAGTGGATTAATATTGCTTTTTTCACATCTTTATTTAATATTCATTATGTCAATAAGTATGTTGGGTATTCTATTATTCAAGCTTTATTTTTATTTTACCAACATAAATATGATAAGAAATGTTATCCCCTTTACCAACTTAAAAATAAATAAATAAATGCCATTAAAATCTGCAAACCTGTGTGACCTTATAATGACAGCACCCTTTAAAAATCACTGTTTTAAACTGTTCAAACAAGTGCACAGTGTCTCTTTCCCTGTAAAATACCTGGAAGTTAGGGAAAGTTTAGCCACTACTGTCCACAGCACACACTCCAAAAAGTACAGTGCACTTGCAATGTAAACTGGGAAAATACTATTCATTTTGCCACAAAGTTACCAAGAAATTACATAGTTACTTACTTATGGACTTTCATGAAATTACCTACAAAATAATTTATGTGTCCTTTCCTGCAATATGCCGAAGGTTATTAAATAAACTTAGTAACATGTAAATACTTACATTTATTTACAGACAACTTAAATTAACTTAAAGTATAATACGACTTGTTACCTCCCATTCTACTGTGTACACCTTTAAGTATTTGTAAGTAAATTTAATTACATGTAATTTGAAATAAAATTCCATTAATTTAAATTTAATTAATTAAAGTTCTTTTTAAAATAACATCTTAAAAAATATATATTGTGTCTAGGGAAAATTAGAAGTCTTCCTAATTCTGATGTCTCTCTATTGAAGGATTAAAATAAACAAAGTGCAGCAGTAAAGAGTTTAAGTGAGATATAAAGTGGCATTACATGAAAGTATTTTGCCCTGTAGCATCCTTATTAAAACTGTTACTAGCATATAATCCAACTCTGAAAAAATAATAACATCAAATCTGATGAGAGACTGGCAGCAGCATAGCTCTATTAGCCAGGGCTTCTGTCGATAACAAATGAACCATGCCGGGTATTTGAGAGTGGGGTAGCTAAAGTGATTATACGATGGGAGAACAAATGGTTACAATAAAATGTGACCTTTTATTCTTATTCTTCTCCATCACTACAGCATCACTCAATGCATTATATTGGAGCTCTAAAAGCACTTGTACTGATCTCAAACACCTGTGAGTCAGTCAACCAAAGACCTGTGACTCATGCAGGACAGAGGAAAGTGATGGAGAGAGGTAGGTAGAGGTATGAAAGCAAGAGGAAAAGACTGAAAGAGCATTAAGAAATAATGAATGTGGAGGGGGGGG